GTAAAAAAATCAACTGTTACCCATATTAATAAACCATATACTATAATCATGTCACTAGGGAAAAAATGCACTGGACAAAATTTAACATCTACTCCTGGTTAAAACAGGAGCAGGTGGGTGGATATGGGTAGGGCAGGAAAGAGCAATGGGGAAAAATGTGAGACAATTATAATTGAACAAAAAATAAAAAAACTCTTTAAGCAAACTAGGAGTACAAGGAAGTTTCTTTAATGATTCAAGAAAAGATCTATGAGAACTCTACAGTTAACATCATAGGTTAAGCATTAAAAGGTGAATTCTTGCCCTAAAGAATCAGGAACAAGACAGGAATGACCCCTTTTCTCCATCTACTCAGCACTATACTGCAATTTCTAGCCAGAATTTCTAATTAGGCAAGATAAAAAAATAAAAGACATCATATAGAAAAGGAAGAAGTAAACTTGGCTCTATTAGCAGACAACATGATCATATAAACAGGAGCCAGCAAACTCCAACCTGTGGGCCAGGTGGCTTGTTTCAGTAAATAAAAAGTTACTGAAGTACAGTCATGTCCGTTAATTTACGTATTGTCTGTGGCTACTCTCATGTTACAGTGGCAAAGCTATTCAGTTGTTATAGAGAATGTTATTGGCCACAAAGTCTTAAATACTTACTATCTTTAGTATAATAGTTTAAGAAAGTTTGACAACATTTGGTTATGTAGAACATTTGCCTAAAAGCTACTAGAACTAATAAGTGAATTTAGCAAAGTTGAAGGATACAAAATCAATATACAAAAATCAACTGTATTTATGTATGTTAGCAGTGAGCAATCAGAGACTAAAATTTAAGATATATTATTTACAATTGCATTAAAAAATAAGAAATACTTATGGATAACCTCCTAAGAGATAGAAAGACCTATACATTAAAATATTACTAAGAAAAATTAAAGATGTTCTGTATAAATGTACACAAACTTTGATCAGGGGTTGAAAATTTGATATTGTTAAAAATTAATTTCACAAATTAATCTGCAGATTCAACATGATCCAAATCTAATTTTGAGAATGCTAGTAGGATATTTAAAAAATTGATAGGCTGATTTAACATTCATGTGGAAATACAAAGTAACCTATAATAACAAAATAATCATGAAAAGAAGCATTACTGGAGGATTGACATGATCTGATTTCAAGAACTTTTATAAACCTACAGTAATTAAAACAACTTAAACTGACGTATCCATCAATGGGACAGAACAGAGTCCAGAAATAAACCTACAAACACACATGGTGAACTGATTTTGACAAAGGCACAGTGGCATAAAGTAGAGAAAATATAGCCTTTTCAACAAAGGGTGCTGGAAAAATTGGATATATATATGCGAAGAAATGAACCTGAATCCATACCTTGCCTCAGCTGAAAAAGAGAACACAAAATGAACCATATCTAAATACTAGACTTAAAACTATAAAACTTCCAGAGGAAAATGTAAAAGAAAATTTTGTGATCTTGTGCTAGGCAAAAATTCTTAGACATGAACAACAAAAGAAAAATCCATAAAAGAACAAATGAATATACTGGATTTCATCAGAAAGAAAAAGGGCACTGGCCAGTGTCATGGCTTAGTGGGTATACATATCCCCATCAGAATGGCTAAAATTTAAAAACTGACAATACTTAATGTTAGTGAAAATATGGAGGAAATGGAATTTTCACGCACTGCTGGTGGGAATGGAAAATGGCACCCCCCCAACTCAGCAGTCTCTTAAAAAGGGATACAAGAAAGTATGAGGAAAACTTAGGGGTGATGGATATGCTGACTATCTGGATTGTGGAGATGAGTTCATATGTGTACACACACATCAAAACTATCAAGCTATACACTTCATATGTTTGAGTTTACCTAATCAAGCTGTTGGAAATAAAGCACTAATACAGGAAAAAAATATAAGATAGTGGCTGTAACACAGATGGAAAGAGGATATAAAATGATACAAAATGAAGCTAGAGGATATTGTGGCCTTTAACCTTAGAGCAATGAGAAGTAAAGGCTCAGTTTTAAATACAATGAGATCGGGGACTGCTGGCCAAGATGGAGGCATACATACTTTGCCTCCTCACACAACCAAAAGAAGGACAAAAAACAATTTAAAAACAAAAAATAAACAGAACTGCCAGAATGTATACAAAATAAAAATGTATGGAAGTCTGACAACCAAGGAGTTAAAGAAGACATATTTATCCAGACTGGTAGGAGGAGTGGAGGTGGGCAGCTGGGGCTAAGAAGACTCGAGACAAAGCAGTGGCTGGAGGACTAGGTGGGCAAGGCAGTAGCTGGCTGTCCCACATTTGCACGTGGGTAAACCAGGAGGAACAACTGGGGAGTGAGACAGACCATGCAACCCAGGGTTTAAGCATGGGGAAATAAAACTCAAAACCTCTGGCTGTAAAAACCTATGGGAGTTGTGGTGGTGGGAAATACTCCCAGCCTCACAGGAGAGTTAGGTGGAGAAACCCACAGGTTCCTAGAACATACACAAACCCACCCACCCAGGAATCAGCACCAGAAGGGCCCAATTTGCTTAGAGTACAGGGGTAAGTGACTCAAACCCAGCCTAGAGCCAATCAAGAGACACTATTCTATGACCCCTCCCCCCTACCTACAGTGCCACAACGAAGCCATGTGGGTTGCCCTAATCTGGCAAATATCTGAGGCTATGCCCTTACATCATAATGGGCGCACTGTGACAAAGAAATAGGGCCAAATCAAAGAACTGATCAAAGCTTCAAAAAAAATACAACTAAGCGATGAGGGAGATAGCAAACTTGTCAGATGCAGAGCTCAAAACACTGGTAATCAGGATGCTCAAAGACATGGCTGAGTATGATCGGAAAATAGAGGAAAAAGTGAAGGATATGCAAAGTGAAATAATGAAAAATATATAGGGGACCAACATTAAAGGGAAAGAAATCAGGACTGAAATCAACGAGAAGGAATAAATAAACATTCAACTGGAACAGAATGAAGAAACAAGAATTCAAAAAAAGTGAGGAAAGGCCTAGGAACGAACCTCTAGGAAAACTTTAAACATTACAACATCCGAATCACAGGGGTGCCAGAAGGAGAATAACAAGAGCAAGAAATCCAAAACTTATTTGAATAAGTAATGAAGGAAAACTTCCCCAATCTGGCTAAGGAAATAGACTTCAGGAAGTCCAGGAAGCTCAGAGAATCCCAAAGGAGTTGCACCAAAGGAAGCACACACCGCGTGGCACATCATATTTAAATTACCCAAGGTTAAAGATAAGGAGAGAATCTTAAAAGCAGCAAGAGAAAAGGAGATAGTTTTTTACAAAGGAGTTCCCATAAGATTATCAGCTGATTTCTCAAAGGAAACTTTGCAGGCAAGAAGGGGCTGGAAGGAAATATTTGAAGTCATGAAAGGCAAGGACCTACCGGTACATCCAAGATTGCTCTATCCAGCAAAGCTATCATTTAGAATGGAAGCACAAATAAAATGCTTCCCAGAAAAGGTCAAGTTAAAAAGGTTCAGCATCACCAAGCCCTTATTATATGAAATATTAAAGGGACTTATCAAAGAAAAAGAAGAAGATCAAAACTATGAACAGTAAAATGACAACAAAGTCACAAAATGATCAACAACTGAACCTAAAAACAAAACAAACTAAGCAAATAACTAAAACAGGAATAGAATCACAAAAATGGAGATCACATGGAGGGTCATCAGTGGGTGTGGGGGAGAGACTGGGGAAAGGTACAGGGAATAAGAAGCATAAATGATAGCTACAAAATAGAAGGGGTAGGTTAAGAATAGTTTAGGAAATGGAAAAGACAAAGAACATATATGTATGACCCACTGACATGAACTAAGTGTGGGGAAATGTTGGTGGGAAAGGGGGAGCAGGGTGGAAGGGAATAAAGGGGAGAAGAAAATCGGACAACTGTAATAGCATAGTCAATAAAATATACTTAAAAATTAAACACAATGAGATCTCAATTTGTAAAAATATATAATAAATACACTTGTACACCAAAGCTCCAGGAGGTGAAAGGGCATGAAAACCAGTTATGAGATTATTTCAGTATTCTGGGAGGGAACCTTCATAACCTGACCTTGGGTGAAGGCATTGGAGAGAAACAGAGACAACACACCCATTAGGTGAATGGTATTGCCATTCACACTGAGAAAAGTACAGTGGAAATTATCATAGCTCTTTGGTTGAGAGCAGATAATCGCTCTCACTGCATAGGAATATCAAACATATTTCTTAGATAAATAGCTATACAACAGGTCTGTGCTCTATGGTTCGATGCTACACAAGTTGTACATATATTACTACAGTATACATAAAACTGCTTTCTATTTATACAATGGTCCTACCTTTACAATCCATGCCAAGTTGTTCAATTAGCAACATGAAATTCTTACAGTTGGAGTAAGGCAACTCACAATGTTCCGAAAATGTTTCAGATGACTGAGTTAAGTCATCAAGGTCATCCATGGAATTAAATTTCTGTTTGACCTACAAATAAATAATACTGGTTTTCAAAATGTTGATAAAATATGTTAAGTATATAGAGGTGATAAATATCTACCTTTTTATAACAGTAAAAATATAAGTATTAAGGGAACTGATTTTTACAAAAAAGATACCTTTATTAATACTATTTCTAAATTACCTTAAAAAGTACATGTCTCTATAACAAAGGAAGATTTCCTGTTGTTTCACTATATCTATTACAATTTGTTTTACTACAAATAATATTTTTGATAGTTTATTTTTTACAATACCTTGTTTTCATCACTAAATGTTTTCTCTTCATACGATGTTTTCTCTGTAGATCTAAAAAGAAAGCAATTCTTCTCATGTAAATATTTAGGATACTTAAGATACACAGAATATCTCAACCCATTGTTTCTTAGGTAATATAAAGTTTATAGTCTTACCTCTGCATTTGTAATTAATTTTCCATAAGGGGGATTAAACAATAAATAGAATAACATTAAAGGATAGAGAAAATATACCACTAATATTAACATGAAGTATTAAATGTAGACCAAGTTGATAGCCAAAGCAAAAGGAAAAACATAATGTTGTTACTTGTACTACTGATAGGAAGAAATAATATACCGTGGTTTTTCATTGTCATTTTCAATAAACACAAGTTTTTACTGGCACTAAGATCTAGTTGGAAAGTATTACTTAAGCCCTTATATGAAGGAATCCCTCTTATAATAGTCATGATACTAGCTTTTTGCGGACTTACTATGCAACTAGTAAGCATTATTGTGAGCATTTTACATGTCTTAGGAGCATTTTAATGCTTGCAAGAAATCTTGGGGGTAGGCAATGTATTAGGTACTTTACATAGAAAGAAAATGGGGCATAGAAAAGCTAAATAACTTGCCAGAGTCTACAGAATGGGGAAGATGATGGCGTAGGCAGACAGGACTTGCTTCTTCACACAACCACATCAAAATTACAACTAAACTATAGAACAACCATCACTCAGAACCATTAGAAATCAAGGTGAGTGGAAGTCTGACAACCACGGAATTAAAGAAACCACATCCATCCACCACAGTAGGAGGGGTGCAGACACAGAACAGGCTGGTCCCTTATCCATGTGTGGTGGATAAAAATTTGGGAGGGGTATCTCAGGAGAGAGGAGTCCCAGCCCTGCACAAGGATCCCCCACCACAGGGTTCCAGGACCAGGAAGATAAGTCCCCAAAACTCCTGGCTGCAAAAACCAGCAGGCATTGACTCGGTGGAAAAAACTCTTGGAGCCCCAAATAGTTTTTCTTAAAGAACTCACACATGGACTCCCCTACTCAGACTTACTCCTAAGCTCCAGCAGCAAGGTAGCAGCTTCAAAGGTACCAGTGGCATATTGGGAGAAAAGGAAGAGTCTGGAATCAAGGTAAGCAGAAGCCATTGTGTCTTTTCTGAACTCTCCCTAGCACAGAGCCACAGAGCCAGCAAGCAGGTACCATATCTGAGACTCCATCAACCTATTATTTTTTTTTGGTTACATAAATTAACCCATTTATTATAGGCCAGCAATGTTTCCCATTGCTGTTTGACCCACCCTGGAGATTCCCCCAGAGACTTGCCCCACCCAACTTATGGACCCCCTAAGCTGCTTTTCCATATGAATGGCTGGTCTTGGCTCATGCCACACAACTTCCTAAATCCTCTCACACAAACAACAGATGGCCTCAGTGAGCCCCAAGGCCTGCACTAAGAACCAGTAGCCAGTCTAGATTCCCAGCTTGGCTCTGCCTGGGAATCTCTAAGTTTAGCACAAATAGCAGTCATCTCACATTGCTCTAGAGCTCAGGCAGGGCTGCCCTGGGCAAAACACAGGTGAGGGCTGTCCTTGGCCTGCACCATCCAAGGAACCCCAGGGCCAGCACACCCAGTTGGACAGCTACAGACCACATCAGAGACAACCACCCTGCCCCTATACAGCTGATCCTCCACAAAGTGTGGAGACTGATGGTAAGTGGTCACAGCCAATACTTGCAGCCAACTGGCCTATGTAAATCCCTCCCACTGATCTGCCAACAGCAACCAAAACTTAAGTACAAAAGAAGGGTGTGCTCAGCCTATGTGAAGCATGCATCTTGAGTACCCAATTTGGGTGACAGGAGAGGCTGTGCCACTGGACTCTACAGGACACATACTGCGTTAGGCCATCCTACCAAGACACGGAGTCAAAGCAGCTCTAGCTAATACATAGAAACAAACACAGGGAGGCTGCCAAAATGAGGAGGCAAAGAAACACAGCCCAAATAAAAAAACAGATAAACATTCCAGAAAAGAGCTAAACAAAATGGAGATAAGGGATCTTTCATATGCAGAGTTCAAAACACTGTTAGTAATAAGGATTTCCAGTGTTGCTGGTAAGGATTGCTCAGGGAACTTAGTGAGGACTTCAACAGCATAAAAAAGATCCATTTAGAAACAAAAGATACACTAATTGAAATAAAGAACAATTTACAGAAAAACAACAGTAGAGTGGATGAAGCCAAGAGTCAAATCAATGATTTGGAACATAAGGAGACAAAAAAACAACCAATGAGAACAATAGAAAAGATGAGGACAGCTATCCCTCTGGGACAACTTAAGAGGTCCAACATTCGTATCATGGGGTAGCAGAAGGAGAAGAGAAAGAGCAAGAAATTGGAAATCTATTTGAAAAGAAAACTTCCCTAATTTGGTGAAGAAAATAGACATGCAAGTCCAGGAAGCACAGACTTCCAAACAAGATGAATGCAAAGAGGCCCCTCCCAAGACATATAATTAAAATGCCAAAGCTTAACAATAAAGAAAGAATCTTAAATGCAGCAAAAGAAAAAATGTTTGTTACCTACAGGGGAGTTCTTATAAGACTGTCAGCTGATTTTTCGAAAGAGACTTTGAAGGCTAGAAAGGACTGGCAAGAAATATTTGAAGTCATGAAAATCAGGGACCTACATCCAACATTGCTCTACCCAACAAATCTAGAATTGAAGGGCAAAAACCTTCCCAGACAAGAAAAAACTAAACTAAAGGAGTTCATCATCACCAAACCATTATTATATGAAACGTTAAAGGGACTCAGTTAAGAAAAAGAAGATCAAATGATTAACAATAAAATGGCAAAAATACATATCTATCAACAATTAAATCCAAGCAAACAAAAACTAAAAGTTGTACAATATACAAACTAAGTTGTATGCAAGTTATATAACAAACAAAAAAGCTGTACCAAACAAAACTAACAACATTTCTAAAAAATATAGCTATGCAAATAACTTCTGGTTAACACTAAGCATCTAAAAAAGGAGGGATCTTTATGAGAGCAATTATTAAATAATTCCTCTTGACCCAAACTTCAAAAATGTCTATAATTATAGAATATGAGATAATCTTCATTATGAACATAGTTGATGGAAGGTACCTCTGACAGTGAAAAAATTCGGTTAAAGTTGCCTCAGACTTAGGAAAAGACTGACAAGTGGCCATGGTAAAGGTAGCCACCAGAACCACTTTTAATTGTGTTTAATCAGTCAGTGACCATGGCCTCACTCACCAATCAATGTAGACCGCTTCCTTCTGAAAGAAAGACATTCAGGGACAACCTTATTTGAATAAAGAAACCCCAGAGTGCCAGCCAATCAACACGCATCTCCCCAGAATAACCAGGCTGCCTCAGATGATGTCAACCCACATAAGCCTCTGCAAGTCCACTAGTCCCTCAACCCACTTGTCCAGAAACCATACAAAAAAGGAGCAGTCCACTGTGTCAGAAAAGACTGTGCCTGGCCAGCATAGCTTTCTCAGTATAATGAGCAACAAATACCAACTTTATCTTTTTATTTCAGATATTGAGAGTTCATTAACCTTTGGCAAATTTTTTTTAAAGCCCTAGAATAACTTACTACCACTATATTTTCTGCTTCATAATAAAATATAAATGCAGTTTGCTATTCCTTTGACACATTTTACCATTACTAATACTACTATAAATATGAATAATAAAAATGGTGAGTAAGCACAATATTGGGCTTCTCTCCCTAAGTGGAAAAGTGTTCATGGAGAAATTAGAACTTATTAGAGCAAAAAAGAATATTTGAAATGCACATAATTGGCAGGTAAAATTGTCAGAATCCACATCAAACTTATTTCTTATTTCCATATGAGCTGCATAGTGTTTAAGACAACACGCTTAGGTGAAACTCCATCCACTCAGTCAATATTTGTGTAGTACTGCATGCTAGGCCCTTTTCTAGGCATTGAGGCTATGGCAGTGATACAAAAAACCCTAGTCATGAGAGTGATGTAAATGCACAATAATAATAAACTAGAGAGGAAAACTATACAGCATGTTAGAGGAGATAAATGAAATTTTAATGTGTTGTGTGGGGAGAAGGTCAGTCGAGTAATAGGCTGGCCAAGATAGGTCTTGCCAAGAAAGAGGCTCTTAAGAACTAAAAGAATGGAAAAAGCATGCCATCTGTATATTGAGGGAAACGCATTCCAGATTGAATCAACAAGTACACATGTATGCCTGCAGCGTTTAGGAATAGTGAGAAAATCAGTTTGGCTCAAAGAAAACAAAAGGGATAGAAAATAGAAGTTCAAGTCAAAAACAGAGATCTAAGATGAAGAGATTATGTAAGACCTTGTAGGTATTATGAAGAACTTTGGCATGTACTCTGAGTGAAATGGGAGGCAATTAGAAGGTTTTGAGTAGAGGAATGACATTATCTGACTCATCTTTTAATAGGTCCACTGTGTTTAGAATGGAGAAAAGAGTGAAAAGGGGGGGACAAAGAAAGAAAGGAAGGAGAGAGGGAGGGAGGGAAGGAGAGAGAGAGGGAAAGAAGGAAGGAAGGAAGGAAGGAAGGAAGGAAGGAAGGAAGGAAGGAAGGAAGGAAGGAAGGAAGGAAGGAAGGAAGGAAACCAATTAGTTGTCTATTATACTAATCTAAACAGCAGATGATAGTGGCTTGGGTCTGGAAGATGCTTCTAGAAATATTTTGAAGGTAACCTGCAAGTTTTGCTGACAGATTAGATGTGAGGTATAAGAGAAGCTGGCACCAAGTTTTTGGCACAGCAACTGAAGAGTTGTCATTAACCCAAATAGAAAGACGGTGTGAAGGGCAGGTGTGAAAAAACAGTATCAGCAGTCCAATTTTGGACATCTTCAGTCTGAAATAGCCAAGAGTTATCCAAAAAGAGATCTCAAGTAGACAGTCTGATATATATAAGGCTGGAATTAAGGAGAGATATGATATGTGGGCTGGAAATACAAATTTGGGGATTAGCATATACAAGGCACTAAAAGTCATGGGAAAAACAGACCAAGGACTGAGTCCTGGAACACTGGGAAGTATAAAAGGTGGGGCATGGGGAGAAACAAGTAAAACAGACTGAGATGCATGGACTGGACAGGCAGCAGGGAACCAGGAAAGTGTGCTTCCCACCCTGAAAACTAAGTTCTGAAAACCAAATGAAGGAAGTATTCTGAAGAGCTTCCCACTGGGTCAAATATTGTTGACAGATTATGTAAAACGAGGTCTAAGAAATTATATCTAGTTTTATTAGAGTGAAAAACCAGTGGTAACCTTCAGAAAAACAATTATGGAGGAGAGAAGGGACTAAAACTTGCTAGAGTGGGTGCAACAGTGCATGGCAGGGAAATTGGAATCAGGGAGTATAGACAGCCTTTAAGAACTTCATAGCTAAATGGCACGATTGTGGATGATGTAATTTTCTTGTTCAGTGACAGTTTTTCAATTTCTTCATTGTGATTATGCAGCAGTTTTGCAATACAGAAAAGTTTTTTAATTGAAAATATACCAGACCACTTATTAAATAATAAATACACATTATAGAAATTATATAATAAATTATATAAATAAAAGACCTCATGAAGACTTGTTAGATATACAGGATGGGGCAAAAGTAGGTTTATAGTTCTCAGTACAGTAAAGAGAGTTCATTCTTGTATTATGATTCATTAATTATTGTATTATTTTCCATACAAACTGTAAACCTACTTTTTCCCACCCTATATAACCAATTATAATTTTTCTTATAGTTAAAAGGTCACAAGGATTTTTGCTTGATGAAAATCAATTGTAGCACATTTTCTATTACTAAAATATACAAAGTAACTAGTCATATTAAAATTCTGGAACAGAAATAAAGGGGGAAGCATGCAGAAAATTTTCTTAATAAACTGAATTTTTGTAAGTTGTATAATATGAAGGTATTGTTTAAAAATTTGGTGTGGTGCATACTGAAATATATTCTCTTTAAAAAGGAAAGGACAAAGGCATGTATACAGGGAAACTTTAAAAAGAAGATTCACTACATTAGCAGCACCTTGGTTTATAGTGCAGGGGTCAGCAAATAACTGCCTGCAAGTCCAGCCCATTGCCTGTTTGTAAACTGAGTTCTATTCACACACAGCTACACATGTTCATTCACCTACTGTCTATGGAAGATTTGAGACTACAGTGAAAGAGACCTGATAGTCCACAAAGTCTAGAATATTGACCATCTGGCTCTTTGCAGAGAAAGTCTGTGCCCCCTGCTTTAACAGATTGATCCACTGGTGTGTTTTAACGTTTTACTCAATAGACTGAACATTTTAAATGAGACATGGAACAAAGTGTCACGTGAACCTCGCTTTCAGATTAACTTGGGGGTCCAATATTTGAGCACTCACATATTCAGACCAAAACAGAAAAATCTAGTAACTCGCGATTTTGGTGGTAACAAAGTAGAGTGCCAGTGTAGCATATAACTTCCCTTTGAAACACAGCAGATATTAAAAATACTCTAAAAAATTTGTTTCAGATATGACATCAAACAAAATGCTTTAAATCTACTTCAGTTATGAAATAATCAGTATGCTATAGACCTAACCTCATTTGTTCCTGTGGTTACATACCATTTTATTTTATGGGTTTAAGAATTTATTTCCTTATAGATAGGTATTTAGATTACCTCCAACTTTTTGATATACAATGCTATAAAAAATATCCTTCACATACATATGTATTTACAGGGAGGGCAAAAAGTAGGTTTACAGTTGTGAGTACACAAAACAATTTATTCTTGTATTATTATTTAATAATTACTGTTAATATTTTCCATATGAACAACTGCAAACCTACTTCTGCCCTGACCTGCATGTAACATATTTACATAAATGTCCTTGAGGCGCATATATATACATATATATAGGCTTAACATTATATCATACTACATATATTATATATAATGCCCTACTGTATGTTTTATATACATAGTGATATATAATAAATGTCCCTAGAATGCTTTCCTGCAGGGTCCAGTTCCAGAAGTATAGCTGCTGAGATAAAGAAATTACACATTTGAAATTATGAAACATGCCATTTATTAATAATTACCATTCAAAAAGATTTATCAATTTTATCTAGCAATGGTGTATGAAAATGCCATTTTTCTTTTATTTGCCAACCTGGTTGTTATTTTTAAATATTTAGCATTATGACTTCAGAAAATGGTATCTCATTGTTTGTTAACTTATATTTATTTGATTACCACACAACACTGAACATCCCTAGTAAAAATATTAAATTTGCTTATCATGAATATGAGCTCAAATTACAATTTGCTTCATAGGAAAATAAAAATCACCTACTATTAAATATTGCTGTCACCTTACCTATCAGAATATTCACTCCCTATAACAGGGAATGGCTGCTTATCAGTTTGTTCGCGCTTCCTTTGTTGAATTAATCCATTGCTGTCGTCAGCGTCAGCATTGTGCACGTTTTCTATTACAGCCACTTCAGTACTGTTGTGCATCTTTTCCTCTTCTTCAACCTTTAATGACAGTTTGGTGTTAAGGATCATTATTATTACTTTATTTATCAAAAAGACATGTTGTGTTGTCATTAATTTTATCATTTTGGCTCTTAGTTTGTCATGACTTTAATCAGTAAAAATATTTTTGTGCTTACTTTCATTTTATCATTACAGGTCTTTGAAATTCTAAATTCTACTTTATTTCTGTTTCAATAAAGCCAAATTTTCTGATTTCAAAAAGGGCTTTCTTAATTCTGGGCTCTGTTCACATGCACTCTCCCTTTACCCCCCTTCCATTTGTCCAGCAGAAACACAGAAACAAAAGGACAAGGACATAAAATCTGTCATCATCTCTTTCCGACCTGCATTCTGCGTTACACAGACAGGTTGGGAGGACGTGACACTGTGCTTCAGTAACAAACAGGAGGCTTTCCTCTTTCCGCAATCAGCTGTATTTTTTGTATGTTGACTTTTACAATTATTTTTGCTTTTAAATCCCGAAGTTATAAAAAAGTGGTAGTATTCATAAAATATATGAACCAAATTTTACTGCAACATAGGAACAGAGTGAAAGTGATGAATTGTTAGGTAATGTACAATCCTGGAAAATGAGTAGGGCTCCCTAAATTTCACATTCAATAACCATTAAATTTTATAGCTAGAGGATATGGTATAGAAGTAATTATCTACATTAGCCCCGTATTTGCTGATAATGGGAATAAAACCAAGGTTAAATGATCTGTCCAAAGCTCCTAAAGATGTAATACCTAGCATTTTACGCCACCAAAAGAGATGATACACTTCTATAATGCTGAATCAGATAAAAGAACAGAACAATTCATCAAATTAATCAGATAAATTAAAAGTGTGACTTCTGCCTATTAATTTAATGCTTTAGTTTGGGGAGAGGGCTCATCCATCTCTTGCCTTTAAAGGAGAGTATCTCAACTTTTGTCTGTTTTTTAAAGTCAGTGTGCCTCAAAACTCAGTTTTCTCCTTTAAATACTAAATTTTTGGTAAAGCTGTTTTGCTACCTATATGATGTCATACATGTCAAAATTTTCCACACTTTATTAAACAACATTATATAAAGGTTTGAATGTACAAAACCATCTGAGAGGAATGACAAACTAAAGATATGTGGAAGTATATGTTTGTTACTAAAAATATCTCAAAGCGGTCACTTTGGAACCCTAAGTTCCAGGGCTTTGAGTCAAGCATTTAAGATTGCGCACACTGACCTACGACAATAGATGAGTTCAGCGGGGAATATTTGTTCATGTTGCTTCCCTCAGTCATGGCTTCCTTCCCATTTTATTGCTTATGGAATGCAATTTATATTGAAGCTGATAAACTAAAAAAACTCAAAAACCCTACTGCTTATTACACTTTTAAAGCAATTTTTTAAAACATATTTTATTAATTATGCCATTACAGTTGTTCTATTTCCCCCCTTCATTCCCCTCCACCCTGTACACCCCCTCCCACACCATTCCCTCCCTTTAGTTTATGACCACGTGTCTCAAGTTCTTTAGATTCTGTATTTCCCATACTATTCTTGCCCTCCCCCTATCTATTTTCTACCTACCATCTATGCTACTTATTTTCTGTACCTTCTCCCCCCTTCTTCTCCCACTCCTCTGTTGCTAACCCTCCATGTGATCTTCATTTCTATGGTTCTGCTCCTGATCTAGCTGTCCTCTTAGTTTGCTTTTGTTTTAGGTGTGGTTCTTAATAACTGTGTGTTCAGATTCAGGTCATATGGTACATAGCTAAATTAGTGTCCCAGTTCACATGGAAGACTGAGAGAGAGACTTAAGTTGATTAAAGATAAGAATGTTTTCCTGAACTACCATTATTTGGATGGCCAAAATAGTCAATTTCGGGACTGAATTACAAATTTATACAAACTCATTTTACACACAGATGTTTTTCATAAGTGAAAAACAAGAATGGATAAGATAATTGATGAGAGAATAACTAATAAGTAGCAGTAAGTTAACCTCTACCTCTTTTTGAAGTTTATCTTTCTTTTTCCAAAGCCAGAAAACTTAATTTTAACGTATCTACCTCATTCTTAAAACTTTGTATATCCTGCTGTGATTCTTTAGATAATTTTCAGTTGTTCTGTCATTATATGGTAGAGAAAAACTCCCATTAAAAATTTTTCAAGATTTTATTTATTTATTTTAGAGAGATGGGAAGAGAGAGAGAAAGAGAGAGAGAAACATCAATGTCCAAAAAGACACATCAAACGTTTGCCTCTCACAAACTCTCAACTGGGGACCTGGCCCGCAACCCAGGCCTATGCTTTGACCCAGAATCAAACTGGTGACATTTTGGTTCACAGGTGGCAATCAATCCACTAAGCCACACAAGCCAGGGCAAAATTTTCTAATTCATGTTCCATGCTTTTACAGTTATTAGTAAATATCTTCATATAATGCCATCTGGGACAAATCTTGACTCTGGTTTTGTTTCCATATAACTATTTGTAACTGCAGAAATATCCTGTCTTATCTGATGCACATGCTTCACTTTATTGCAGCAGGCAAACCACAAATCAAGGACGCTTTTTGGATCAAAAGACTGAGCTGTATGTCTGAGGCCTAATTTCCAATTAGCAATATCTGTGTTCACATTTCCACCATCTACACACCAAACTCATTGTCTTTTTTTTTCATTTCAAACTGCACTACTGGGTATTTTACTTTTTGCTTTTATAACCTTATAAAAACTCTTCTAATTTTTGTTAGAAACAACTCAAGGTCTGGTTTGTTATCATTTTTATAGTGTATTTGTATCCCATTAAATAAAGCTTGGAAGAAGATCACCTGCAAGCATACTCCAAGGGCCCTGGGTATGAATGAGGTAGAAAGACATTTTTGAGGGTGGGTTTTCTCTGTTCCGCAAAGGTTTGGAACACTGAAGAGACAGACACTCCAAACACACCATCGTTCTCACAATCAAATGTATTATCTGTCATATTAGAAGGTATTTGTCTTAAGCTTGCTCCAATGGTCATACAGTGGCTCTTCCTCAGGACGAGCAGTAATTTTGTATTTCTCTCAACTTTCTCCAAACTTCTGCTTTAACTCATTTGTGATGAGTTGTAAATGATTCCTCCACTCTAATTTGCCTTGGTTGACACACATTCCTCACACTTTTGCAGAGGATGCCCTAAGTATGCAGATACATTACCCCTGTCACTTTCTCTATTTACTTCTGGTTCTTGAGACAATTTTTCCTGGTGTAAAAGTTATTTTCTTAGTTTGATTTTCAGATGTTTTTTCTGTCAGATTACATGTTTGCAACATAACTTTATTCTTAATTAAGAATAAAGAAAAATTAGAATTAACTTTTTTACTTTATTTTTATTGTTACTGTAATAGTGTACTATTACCAGTGTCCCAATATTCCCCCACTTTGTGCAACTACCCCCTTCACCCTTGCCCCGCTCTTTCCTCTGACCACTACTACCCTGGTGTCTGTGTCTATGGGTCATGCATATACGTTCTGTGGCTACTCCTTTTACATTCTTTCATCCAGTCCCTCACCAGACCCCCCCCACAGCTGTATGTTCAATGTATATATGCCTGTGTTTCTATTTTGTTCATCAGTTTATTTTGTTTATTAAACTCTACATATAAATGAGATTATATGGTATTTGTCTATCACTGACTAGCTTATCTCACTCAGCATAATAACCTCCAACCCTGCCCATACTGTTGCAAAAGGTAGGAGTTTATTCTCTTTTTTTATAGCCACATAGAATTCCATTGAGCAAAATGTACCACAAAATTTTTAGCCACTTACCTACTGATGGGCACTTTAGGTGTTCCCAGATCTTGGCTCTTATAAATAATGCTGCTATGAACATAGGGGTGTGAACATTCTTTCAAATTGGTGTCCCGGGATTCTTAGACTATATTCCCAGAAGCAGGATTGCTGGGTCAAAAAGCAGTTCCATTTTTAATTTTCTGAGGAAATTCCATACTATTTTCCACAGTGGCTGCACCAGTCAGCATTCCCATTAACAAGGCATTAGGAATCCCTTTTCTCCATATCCTTGCCATTACTATAATTACAATTTAACTGTTAAACTTCTTAATCTACATTAACCTACTCCCATATTACTGGATTGTTACAAAGTAAAAAATAACTTGCCTTGGTCTAAACTTAAAAAAAAAATGAACCAGAGTTCCTAATTTTGTCACTATTGGAACTAATTAATTCATTAGATGTTAAATTTACCTAAAATAAATTACTAGGTGAATTTTAATGCTACAAATGCTTCCTCACTTAACACATTTCACCTCACTGCCCTGACCAGTGTGGCTGAGTTGTTCAGGCATTCTTCCACAAGCTGAAAGAAAGCTCGTGGGTGTAATTTCCAGTTGGGGCACATACCTGGGTTACTGGTTTGGTCCCCAGACTGGGTGAGTATAAGAGGTAACCGATTGATATTTCTCTCCCACATTGATATTTCTCTCCCTTTCTACCTCTCTCCCTTCCCCTCTCTCTAACAATAAATAAATGAAATCTCCATAAAAATAGTTTACCTCACTGTATCATGAATAATGAGCCCTACAGTGCATTTAAGAATTTTTCGAGGGGGACAGGTGGTCCAAAATGACACAGAGTAGGTGAAAGTTGTATTCCCCTCCTCCCAGGACCAAACTGGAATTACAGATGAATTATAGAAAAATCAACCTAAATAACCAACTGAAGAGTTACTGAAAAGAACAACTAAAGCACTGCCTTTAAAATCAGGAACAAGACAGGAGTGTCTAATTTCACTACTCTTACTCAATATAGTTCTAGAAGTGCTAGCCACAGCAATCAGACAAGAAAAGAAATAAAAGGTAGCCACAGTGAAAAGAAAGAAGTAAAACTGTCATTATTTGTGAATAACATAATACTGTACATAGGGAATCCTAAAGATTCCACCAAAAAATTACTAAAACATAAATGAATTCAGTGAAGTAGCAGGATACAAAATTAATATTCAGAAATCACTTGCATTTTATACATCAGGAATAAACTATCAGAAATAGAAACTAAGAAAACAATCTCATTTATAATTACATAAAAAATTACCTAAGAAAAATTTAACCAAGGAGGTAAAAGACATGTACTCAGAAAATACAAGATCCTGAAAACAAATGAAAGAAGTTACAAATAAGTGGAAAATATACTGTGTTCTTAGACAGAAAAACTTAACATCATTAAAATGTTCATACTACCAAAGATAATCTAGAGTAACACAATTGCTATCAAAATACCAAAGCTGTATTTCATATACTAGAACAAATAATCCAAGAAATTCATATGGAACCACAAAAGCTCCAAATAGTCTCAGCAATCTCGAAAAAGATGAACAGAGTTGAAGGTATCGCACTACCTAATATCCTACTATAATATAGGCCATGGTGATAAGAACAGACATATAGATATATAGTGCAGAATAGAGGGCCACTGACAAAAGGAGCTACAAAATATGGTGGGGTAAAGGCAGTCTATTCAATAAATGGTACTGAGAAAATTGGGCAGATATAAGCAAAAAAAAGAGAGAAAGAAAAAAAGTAGACTATCTTCTTATACCATATACAAGAATGAACTCAAAATGAATTAAAGATTTCAAGGTAAGACTTGAAACCATTAAACTGCCAGAAGAAATCATAGGCAGCAAAATCTCTGAGATTTCTCTGAGCAATATTTCCTCTGCTATATATCCATGTGCAAGGGGAAAAAACATAAAAAAAGAAACATATGGAACTACAGCAAACTAAAAAGGTTTTGAAAAGCAATGAAAACCCTCAACAAAATGAAAGGACAATGTACTGAATGAGAGAACATATTTGCTTATGATACATCTGCAAAGAAGTTAATATCCAAAATTTATAAATAAGTCATCCTGCTCAACACCAACAAACCAAGCAATCCAATTAAAAAATGAAAGAAGACATACAGATGGCCAAAGGGCAAATGAAAATGATTAATGTCACTAATTGTCAGAGTCATGGAAATTAAAACCATGATCAGATGTCATCTTATATCTGTCAGAATGACTATCATCAATAAATCCACAATAACAAGTGTTAGTGAGAATGTGATAAAAAGGAACCCATGTGCACTGTTGGTGGCAATGCACTATGGGTGCTGAAGCCACTATGAAAAACAGTACGCAGTGTCCTCAAATACTTAAAAATGGATCTGCTTCATGACCGACCAATTCCACTTATGGGTATACATCCAAAGAAACCCAAACACTGATTCGGAAGACTGTATGTGTCCCAGTATTCACTGCAGCATTACTTACAATAGCCAAGCTATGGAAGCAAACCAAGTGCCCATCAATAGACGGGAAGATAAAAAAGTGGTGGTACACACATTTACAATGGAATATTATTCAGCCATAAAAACAACAACAACAGTGAAATCTTATCATTTGTGACAGCACTGATGGACCTAGAGGGTATTATGTTAACCCTAGAGGGTATTCTATTAATACCTAGAGGGTATTAATAAGTCAGCCAGAGAAAGACAGATACCATATGACTTCACTTAGATGTGGAATCTGAAGAACAAAATGAACAAACAAAAGAAAAACAAAGTCATAGACACAGAGAACAGACTGATGATTGTCAAAGGCTGGGATTTAGGGGACTGGGTGAAAAAGGTGAAGAAATTAAGAAGTACAAATCAGCTGTTACAAAACTGTCACAGGGATGTTAAGTATAGCATGAAGAATATAGTCAATAATATTGCAATAACTATGCATGGTGCCAGGTGGTACTGGAAATATTGGAGAAACTACTTTGCAAAGTATATAATTATCTAACCGCTATGCTGTATACATGAAACTAATACAAAATAATAGTGAAATGTAAACTGTGATTGAAAAATAAAATTAAAAACCAAAGAATTTTTTAAAAAGAATCCTTTTAAAAACTGGAGAAGAGGCAAGCTTTAAATTATTAGGAGTCAAAATCATTGACATCAATCAAAAATAAAAGCAAATTGCTAAATTTTAATTCAAATGATATGATAGTGTATACATTGATACAATTATCTTGTGGATTCAATTCTAATATGTTCTAATAATATTGCCAATGAGAGTGGATAAAAATGTGATAATATTCACTGATTTTCTACACTAAAATGAAATAAATTTGAAAGTTATTGTTTATACTCTAACAGCAAAAGGTTCAATTTGGGAAGATGTGATATTCTTAATTGGTAGTTGAAACAATTTTATGACCCCATCCTCTCCCTCTATGTAGACCCTGAGTTCAATTACATAGAGATCACAAGGCAGCATTAAGCTTTAACCCTGGCATTAGTGAGTATCAATATGACAAGCAAATTTTGAACCACTGATTGTGACTACTCTTTTTACATGACTCCAACTCAGTGGTCATCATTGTCACATTGTTCATTATTTTAACCGTTTAATGATATGATTCAGTATTTGATGCTACCTTCTTTATCATGTAAAGAAGTTATAAAAATGCAAGCAGTGAACAATATTTGAGATGTTTTTGCCTCTATTACAAAGAAAGCTGAGCTATAAATTACTATAGATTCTAACAATAACTAAGTCTCATAACTAGTTAAAACTAAATATTCAATTATGATCTACTGACTCTAAGAGACTAGCTTGAAAGGTAACTTCGTTGGACTATGTTACATTATTAAAAGAAAACAATATTACACCAGAAATTTAAATTTAAATTTTACATACCTGTGGGTGGTTATTTTCACTTCCATTAAGCCTTTCTTGCTCTTCCTCTGGTGTCACTTCTAAGTCTAATTCTGCTGACAAATCTATATATTAGCTAAATGGAGCTACTTAGAACAATTAAAGCTATAATCTTTATGAAAATAGAAAATATGTTTTATCAATTGAGAGTTTAAATTAAGCTTAATCTTTCGCTGAATATATACTTCTTTAAGAAATACTTCTAATTATTGAAACCTTCAACAAAGCATTCAGGAACCATTAGATATTACAAAGTTCAAGGCACAGAAACCTCAAAAATTCATTCACCTAACATCAATGAACAAAACAATCAGAAACAAAACAAAATTTAGAAATACCATACAAACATATAAAGTCATACCATATTTTCTATCTCGCAATGAAACCTTTTTAACATCTCCTTAAGCTTCAGCTGCAACATTATTCATGATTTCCAAGATCATTGTCACTTATGCCTTTATCATGTTTACCTTCATTATATCTGAAATGTTTTCCTCTACTTTTCTAACAAATTTCATCTTTTCGGACTTAGCACTATCTTTTAAAGAAGAATATAAATAAGAGGTGCCAGGAATGGCTTTTCTAGAGATAATGCCTGAGATGAGGCTTAAACAGTGAGGTCAACCAGAATCAAAGGGGAAGAGGGCAGGGAAGGGAGAGAGCATGCAGTAGGATCCATTATGTCTAAAATGCAGCGACTGGTGAGGAGGACATCACCAGCAGTTTAGCAATGCCAGAGAAAAGAAAAGACAGTAGAGTGGGCTAAAGATGGAGTTAAAGAAGTCAAATTACAAGAGCCTTGTATGTAATTTGAAGACACCTAGACATTAATATATTTTAAAGAATGGTTCATGATCACGTTAGCATTTGAGATACATCACTCTCAACCCTGTCATAGTGATGAATTTGAGTGGCATAGGAATAAATGGAGGAGGAGGAATTGGAAGGCAATAATGCAGAATAGAGGATGCAGGTCTGAACTGAAGAGATGTTTCCACAACTATTTAAGATATAAAATGTTCAGGGCCCAGTATAGAATAAATCTTTATTCAGTGAATAAATGTTCAAATCCTGGGTCAACTAGATTCTGCTCATTAAAAGAACTACCTGAACTGTGTTATGTTGCTTGAATTTATTTTGTAGTTTTTATGCTTCCCAGGTTTCTGTGATGAGGCAGCTTGTTTTGGAAGTCCTGTTTCTTGGATCTACCAACCTCGTGAAGAAATGAGATATTTGTATAGGCAGGTAAATTACTGGATTTACAGCTTTAGGTCACTACTCTAGGAGATAAATGAAAGTCTTTTGTAAATGCAATGTTAGTTCTAAAGGTAAGGAAAGAAGATAAAATTATAGAAATAAACATATATATACGTGTTCGATCAATCCCTACACCCCTGATCATGTAACTGATAAAGGACACTAAGGTAAAACAGAATACACAAAGTGCAACACATATTAGATGTGCTGGGTCAACAGAGTGGGTATCCTCTTAGAATTAAAACTGGTTCTCATACATTAATTTTAAATGACACAGAACCCCTTAAAACCAATATTCCTCGTGAATCATGTATTCACTAAAAAATAAAACAAGGTAACAACTATGTGGACACAGCTCAGAAGTAGGTACTGTGCAGCAAATTCTCAGGGATTCCCATTACTGCTGGAAAAGCCAATTCTAAATGGATAAAGCCATAGGAAATGCAAGAAAAACTTTAATATTTGGTTTTGGAAGGTGATTTTTCAGGTACACTGAATATAGTTATAATTCTTGTGAATTCAGAGCTATAAAAATAAAGCTGAGGAATGACATTTGTTTGAGTAGGCAATACTTAGATCTCTACCTAGTTTTCCCATCTAGTCCCAGAGCTCTAAATATAATTCTGCTACCCACTCCCGAGTGTATGCCAAATACTAATGTAAAGGAGTTTATTCTTTCTCCTAAGTCTCTTTATATTTAAGTATATGTTACGTTCATTACAGGAAAAATGCATATGTCTTGCTAAAAGATATTCTGTTTGGCTGTAGGTACATAAAAGGAGTAATTATGAAGTGGATTTTGCCACAAAATGATTTTTGAAAAGTCAAAACTATAGTGCAGCCACAGAGGTGACCTAGGGATGAACTCTTTCTTTTTTTTTTTTATTTTTATAAAATGTTTTTTTTTTATTTTTTTAAATTTTATTTAGTTATTTTTCAAGTACAGTTTTTTGTCTATTTTTCCCATCCCAGCCTCCCCTGCCCCTTGCTCCCCACCTCCCTCCCATTTCCACCCCCCCTTAGTTCTCGTCCCTGTGTCCTCCCTATTTGTTCCTCCAAATCCCTCCCCCTTTTTCCCCTTAACTTCCCTTCCTTCTCCCCTCTGGTCACTATCCCCTTGTTCTCTATTTCAGTGTCTTTGTTTTTTGGGTTTTTTTTTTTTCTGCTTACTTGTTTGTTTTGTTGTTTAGCTTCCTGTTAAAGCTACTACCCTTTGCAACAACATGGATGGAACTGGAAAGCATTATGCTGAGTGAAATAGGCCAGGTGCTGAAAGACAAATACCATATGATCTCACCTTTAACAGGAAGCTAAACAACAAAACAAACAAGTAAGCAGAACTCTTTCTTTATGATCACCTTTGCTCTCTCTCTGTGCTGGGAACTGTGATCACACACGTTGTGCAGCCTAAACTTCCCTAACAGAAGTAGCTCCAACATTAATCTTTTTCTCTGTCTGTTAAGGTCGTCTGTCTAGTCTGTAAATGCTGACTGACTTTAGGTCATCGATTGTGATACTAATGGACATTTTTCATGAACTTTAAAACTCTCAGGTCTTCGCACTGGCCAGGTGGCTCAGCTGGTCTGTTCGGAGCGTTGTCCCATACCTGCCAAAAGGTTGGGGGTTTGATTCTCCATCAGAGCACATACTCAGGTTGTGGTTGGGGCACATATGAGACATAACTAACTGATATTTCTCTTTCACATGGATATTTCTCTCTCTCTCTCTTCCTCTGTCTCTAAAAATCAATAAACAAATCCTCAGGCAAGGATTTTAAAAAATAATTAAATAAAGATATATAAAAAATGAAATCCCAGATCTTTGACAATTCTCATGACTGAGGGTCAAACTAGTAGTAGAACCACAATGTGAAGAACATGAAAATAAAGTTTTCATTTATTACAGTGTAAATGATAAGACAAATCTGACAGATTTATAAAAATTCTTTCTTCAGAGAAGTAGTCCCATGTCTTCCTCTTCCCCTAAACACGACTCTTCATTATACATATTACTTTATGTGTCTTGTCCTTGACATTCACAAAGAAGTTTAATTAATTGTTGTCTCTCATTTTTGTTCTTTATTTACAGATACTGCTTATTTGTTTACTGAGCAATTTTATACATATTGTTTTCCATAAAAGCTTTGTTTATTAATAATTAAGATTCTTCAGGGTATAAATTTTTTGTTATTAAAATGTATGTTTAACCACTTATTTTAAGGTTAAATATGCATCAGAAAACATGGGTTACAAAAACTTTTAATAAGTGGTACTACTTCAAATAAGAAATTACATAACTACAATAAAATGGTCCTTTTAAAACACACAAGTATCTTCAAAATTCATCTTTAACCCTTAGATAAATACAAATTCATGCAAGAAATGATAACCTTAGGTGGCCTTATTGTTTCCAGGTAAAAACAGGATCAGTCTAGGTCCACACTAAATCCAGTGAGTACAAAGTGACATGGCACAGGCAATGAATGAACAAAAACATTTTCCTCTTATTTAAACAAAATCATCAGATTTAAACTTTTTAAGACAAGTGAAAGCAAAAAGCAACAAATGAACAGATGAAGCTTTTAAAGCCTGTTTAATCACGAGGGGCTCTTTATCGTCTGACATCCATGAACCATATACAACTTAAAATAGTGGTACTCAAGTGTCATCGGAGAATCCCTGGGATCCCAAGACACACTGGATCGGGGGTCCAACAGGTCAAGACGATTTTCACAGCAATACCAAACCTCACTGGCCATTTCACTCTCATTCCCTTGTAAGTATACAAGGTAGAGTTTTCCACAGACATGATCCATGATAACATCATAGCTCTAATGCTTAATGGGTCATAGTTCTAATGGCTAATAGGATATATGATTATACTGCTTGTGTTTCAAATTTTTTAGTTTGATTTTCTAATACTGTAAACATTAAGAGGAATGACCCACTTAAAAATTCTTTGGAATTCTCAATAATTTTTAACAGTATAAGGGCACCCTGAGTTCTAAAATTTCAAAATTAGTGTCTTAAGAGGTTGTGTTTACCAAATATTCACTATGATTGATTTCTTCCCCATTTTCAATACTCAAAGACACCATAAACATACACACACACATAGGAATCTTCTAATCAGACCATCTGGTTGGCTTAAGATCATCAGTGTAACAACACTGAGATGAAATACTTAAAACACTATTGACATGTTAGCAATTGAAATTTAATTCTAGGTAAAGGTAAGAGTTCAAATAAGCATTTTATTTTATTTTGTTTTATTTACTTTAAAAGTATTGCTTCCTTTTTCTGTTCTTTTTAAAAAATTTATTTATTTTCAAAAGAGGAGACTTAAAACACTATTGACATGTTAGCAATTGAAATTTAATTCTAGGTAAAGGTAAGAATTCAAATAAGCATTTTATTTTATTTTATTTTATTTTTTAAATATTTTATTATTTATTTATCTTTAGAGGGGAAGGGGAGGAAGGAGAGAGGGGGAAGGAGAGAGGGAAAGAAACATCAATGTATGGTTGCCTTGGGGCTGGCTGGGGAACTGGCTGAGGGAACCGGCCTGCAACCCAGGCATGTGCCCTGACTGGGAATCGAACCGCAATTGTGTGGTTCGCAGGCCCGTGCTCAATCCACTGAGCTACACCAGCCAGGGCTATTTTATTTTATTTACTTTAAAAGTATTGCTTCCTTTTTCTGTTCTTTTTAAAAAATTTATTTATTTTCAAAAGAGGAGACACAGGAGGGAGAAAGAGAGGGAGAGAAACATCAATATGTGGGAGAAACAATGATTGGTTGCCTCTCACACTCCGGCAACTGGGGACTGGCTCACAGCCCAGGCACGTGCCCTGAGTGGGAATTGAACCAGATACCTTTTGGTTCACAAGCTGGCACTCAATCCACTGAGCCACACCAGCCATGGACAAATAAGCATTTTACAACAGTGGAAAATAAAAACCTCTGGGAATCTCTAATAACTATAGTGGTTCCAAACTGGGAACTTTAGGATATCAAAACAAAAGTAAAAACATATTATTTAAAGTTTACATTTTATTTTTTTAAAGATTTTATTCATTTATCTTTAGAGGGGAAGGGAAGGAGAAAGGGAGGAAAATATCAATGTATGGTTGGCTCTCATGTGTCCCCTGCTGGGAACTGGCCTGCAACCAAGGCATGTGCCCTGACTGGGAATCAAACCACGATCCTTTGGTTTGCAGGCCTGCGCTCAATCCACTCAGCTACAACAGCCAGTGCTTAAAGTTTATATTTTAGAAATCTTGGTTTATTTTTCTGCAAATAGCAAACATGGATTCTAAAAGTGACATCTACATTACTTATGTCAAAACCTACAATTCAACTTCCAAAAAAAGAAAAAAAGGAATTAGGAATAAGAAGACTATGAGCATGTTAAATATTCTCCTATGTTCCTTTCCAGAGTTAAATTTGTAGCTCAAAATTTACCTGATCTGGATGTTTGTAGAAAAGTCATTCCTGCTGCTTTTTCAGGAACAGGACCTTTCTCTTCAACAGTAGGCTGAATAAGTTTTAAACAAGATGGTTAAAAAAATTTACATTTCATACAATCTGTAGTTAGTACTTCAATATAAAAATATAAAAGTTATTACCTTTAAGTGAGAATATTTTCCAGGAGAATCTAGAGAGCAAAGAGACATATACTCAATTATATGAAAATATGAAAGCCAACTATACATCCATGCAGAGTTAGTATACAGCTGAATCCTCACGCTTAGCTTTGGAAATTATTACATTAGGTGTTAGTGCTTTGTGTTTTCTTTTCAAGGGCCAAGGGGATAAGGACATCAACTAAAAGGAAATATGAATATACTATAAATACTGAATAAAAAAAGAATGTAAGTTTAACAAAACACGCAGTTAAGATTTCAAAAGTAAAAGTATGTTTCAAAGATTGTAACTAACATAGAAAAGTGTGTCTATACCGAAGTGAACATAATATGTGATGAGATAAAAGTGATCTTTAATCAGAGAAACAAGTCATGACCCTGACAGAATAAAAGTGAAACAGAATGCAACAGCATGTCCTCAATGCAAACATCAGAATCATTTATACCTTATGCTACAAGTATTTATCATGTTTGTCAATCTGTCCTATAATTTAGGAAGTACACAACTGTGAGGACAGGTCAGGTCAATGCATAATCGTTTATAAACAGAGAAAGTGTTAAGACTTGATCAGCTTGGATATACACTTACAGAATAATAGTTAATAAAATTTTTTCCATACCAATATGGGCTACTGGTGTGCCTCCATTTCCTGTATCCTCTACTTTAGCCATCTTAAAGTTTCTCGATCCACTCATGCAAGAAGGTACATAAAACGCATCTAAGAAATAATGTATAATAAGCTTTCAATATTCAAATTTGATTACTAAAGATGAAGAGAATGAATTTAATTGCAACAAATAGTAGATATTAAAAATATTTTTTGTTCTAAATCAGTGTAATATATACTGAAAATAACAGCTGTAGCTCTTAGAGAATAAACTCTATTCTTTTCTGTCCGAAATCAGCTTGGTATATTATTGTAGTATCTAAAGGAATTTTATGAAACAGCTGTCTTATCAAAACCTGAGCTACCATAATAACACAGCCAGTGCTTCTATATTCAAATTACTTTCACTGCAATAACAAACACCAATGAAACATGTATCTCTGATGCCTGATAATCATGAGGAGGATAAAGGAGGGGCCAGGGTTCATCCTGGTACTAGCACTCTCTTCGTATTCTCAGGAGCAGCAATGATCTAATTTTCTGTTTCACTGCCAATATCCTATAGTCTTCTAATGCGAGTTCTCTCTAGTTTCCTCATCAACTCAAAAGTATTTAGCTAATGCCTTTCTTTCCTCCCTCCTTTTTCACTATCCCCCTTTCCTCTTCAAAAGCAATTTCTGTATCTTTGGTCTTCATTCTCCCCCTTTCTCATTCTTTTTGTGGATTATCTGTACCACTTCTTTCCTCTGTTTAGAAGTAATATACTACATCTGTAATTTATATTTCTTCATTTCTTTGTTTCCCTTGGCCATAGATATGCTCAGAAGTAAAAACAAAACACTACTTTTCAAGTCTTCAGCTATCCAATGGCTCTTCTTCCAGATCTCTCTGAAGAGAAGTCTATACCCTTTCTCCTCAGAGCATGCATGGTCTGAGGACCAGCAGCCCTGGCCTCACCTGAGAGCTCACAAGAATGCAGACTACCAGGCCTGATGCTGTTATTTCTTTAGACGTGAAACTGCATTAAAAGTCATAAAATTTTGGCTTCTAGCCAAGATGGAGGCATAGATAGATATGCTTCACTTCCTCACACAACCAAAAGAAGAATGATAACCAATTTAAAAACAAAAAACAACCAGAACTGTAAGAAAATTGCACTGTATGGTAGTCTGACAACCAAGGAGTTAAAGAAGAAACATTCCTCCAAACTGGTAGGAGGGGTGGAGAGGACACAAGGCAAGGTGGTAGCCGGCGGACAGGGCAGTCACACATTCATGAGTGGATAAACCAGGAAAAACAACTGGGAAGTGAGACAGACCAGGCAACCCACAGTTCCAGTGCTGGCAAAGAAAGCTTCAAAACTTCTGGCTCTAAAAATCTTGTGGAGGTTGTGGCAGTGGGAGAAACTGCTAGTCTCACAGGAGAGTCCATTGGAGGGGACCACAGATCCTAAAATGTACATGAACCCACCCACCCAGGAATCAGCACGAGAAGGGCCCAATTCATTTGTTGGTAGCAAGGGAAGTGACTGAAAGCTGCCTAGAACTAAGCAAGCAGCATTGTTCTCTCTCAGACCCTTCCCTTACACACAGCACCACAGTTCAGAAAAGTGGGTTGTACCGACCTGGTGAATACCTAAGGCTCTGCCCCTTACATCATAACAGGTGCATCCAAAGAAATATGGCCCAAATGAAAGAACAGATCAAAACTCCAGAAAAAGAACTAAGCGATGAGGAGATAGCCAACCTATCAGATGCAAAGTTCAAAACACTGGTAATCAAGATGCTCACAGAAATGATTGAGTACAGATGCAAAATAGAGGAAGAAGTGAAGGCTTTGCAAAATGAAATAAAGGAAAATACACAGGGAACCTACCGAGAAGGAAAGGAAGCCAGGACTCAGACCAATGATTTGGAAAAGAAGGAAGAAATAAACATTCAACTGTAACAGAATGAAGAAACAAGAATTCAAAAAAGTAAGGAGAGGCTTAGGAACATCTGGGACAACTTTAAACATTCCAACATTTGAATCATAGGGGTGCCAGAAGGTGAAGAGAAAGAGTAAGAAATTAAAAACTTATTTGAAGAAATAATGAAGGAAAACTTCCCTAATCTGGCTAAGGAAATAAGACTTCCAGGAAGCTCAGAGAGTCCCAAAGAAGTTAAACCCAAGGAAGCACACACTATGGCACATCACAATTAAATTACCAAGATTAAAATTAAGGAGAAAAGTTTAAAAGCAGCAAGAGAAAAGGAGACAGTTTTTTTACAAAGGAGTTCCCGTAAAACTATCAGCTGATTTCTCAAAGGAAACTTTGCAGGCTAGAAGGGAGTGGAAAGAAGTATTTGAAGTCATGAAAGGCAACGCCCTACATCCAAGATGACTTTATCCAGCAAAGCTATCATTTAGAATGGAAGGGCAGATGAAATGCTTCCCAGATAAGATCAAGTTAAAGAACTTCATCATCACCAAGCCCTTATTATATGAAATATTAAAAGGATTTATCTATTCTAGTCTAAATTTTGGTCACTTTTGTCTAAAGTGACAAATTATGAACAGTAAAACAACAACAAACTCACAACTATCAACAACTGAACCTGAAAAAAAAACCAAAACCAAACTAAACAAACAATTAAAACTGGAACAGAATCATAGAAATGGAGATCACTGATAACCAGAAATGGTTATCAGTGAGGAGGGGGAGTGGGGAGAATGGCAGAAAAGGTACAGGGAATAAGAAGTATAATTGGTCGGTACAAAATAGACAGCAGGAGGTTAAGAATAGTATAGGAAATGGAAAAAGCAAAGAACTTATATGTATGACCTATGGACATGAACTAAGGGGTGGGAATTCTGGAGAAAAGGAGGGTAGAAGGTAGAAGGGGATGTAGGGGAGAAAAAAGTGGGACAACTGTAGTAGCATAATCAATACAATATACTTTAAAAAAAGAAGTCATAATCTTTCTACTGGACTTTTCATTAGGTTATAACTTCTTTGATCTCCCCATAACTGACCCTTCTTTTTTCTTGTTTCCGGTGCTCTCATTTTGGACTACAGAATACCAACTATCCTATGAATTAGCAACATTTTATATGACTTCAGAGTACAGACATTTAGAGCTGACCACAAATGGTTACGCTCATCGATGGTAGATAAAATACAGCTCTATATGACCCATAATGCCTTCCAATGGTGAGAGAAAGAATGAGTAGGAAAATTTTGTTGTACTTCTCTGAGAAGTTTTGGTGCTAGAAGCTCTCTTTATATTCTTACATTTCAAGCACTCTGTTCTATCTATCTATCTATCTATCTATCTATCTATCTATCTATCTATCTATCTATCTATCTATCAATCATCTAAATAATATGTTTTTATTTATTTTTAGAGAGCGGGAAGGGAGAAAGGGAAGGAAAGAAACATCAGTATGCAGTTGCCTCTTGAGCACCCCCACTGGGGACCTGGCTGGCAAGCCAGGCATGTGCCATGACTGGGAATTGAACTGGTGACCCTTCCGTTCCCAGGCTGGCACTCAATCCACTCAGCCACACCAGCCAGGGCATGCTCCTCTTTTTTTTCAAGAATTTTTTATTTGATCACCTTCCACTATGCAGGGAGGGGCAAAAGTAGATTTACAGTTGTTCATATAAAAAATAATATAGTAATTAAAAATAATAATAGAAGAATAAACTGTGCTTGATATACCCACAACTGTAAACCTGCTTTTGCCCCACCCTATATACCTGCTTCTCTTTCCTTCATTTACTCCCTATGTGTCTGCCTTTCTCATTCTTCACCCCTTATTTTATTCTTTGCCTCTACCTTATATGCTCACTTTCCTCAGATCTCAGAGAAGCTTGAAGTGGAACAAATAATTTATCTCCTGTAGCAACACTCTCAATTTAATCTCTTTGCTGACACCTGGTAAGATTTACAACTTATTCTCACTTCTCTTTTTACTTACTCTGCATTTAGCAGGTGATTTCCTTTGACTATTGTAATATATTAGTGTTCATGTTTTAAATAAACATTTTTGTCAAAGAACTTTCTTATAAAATACAGCTCTTACCTTCTATTTGTCCTTTTTGTGTAATTTCAGATCTCTTATCTGAACCTACAGCTTCAGATAAACGATCAACATACTTCTGTGGAAGATTTGCAGAGAAACTCTCCTAAAATTTATATTAATAATGAGTTACATAAAGATTTCCTAACACCTTTCTAAGAAAATATCTCAATTTCCTACTTCAAAAGCATTTAGACTTAAAACTAAGAGAAGCATGTGTTGAATAAAACATTTAAATAGAAAACATCACATATGCTCCCTAGATCAAGCTTTTTCCCCATCTTCATTTGGCTAATGATTGTATATTGAGCTTGAAAAGCCAGAGAAAATACTGTCCTAGTCAAAATACTGATGTACATGTACATTTTAATGAGGAACTGACTTCGAAATACCTACCTCGACTTTGCATTCTCCACCAAAATAAGAGGACATTTTAGGGGAAAAAAACCTTTTAAAATACATTATGTAGTAAGTATACTTGCTAAAAAATTTAAATATTTCTGACAGAATTTTTTTTAGTGTGAAAAAAAGATACTTGACATAATAAGAAACTTTGGAGTGTATTTTCTTAGGTATAAACAAAACACTGTAAAACCTGCTTTTAGTTAGGTACACTAAGGCTTTGACAAAACTATTATTTGATAAAATTTTTGATAGGAAAAGTGGTTGAATAAAATGGCAAAGCATAAGAAAAACTCTTCTTTAAATTATGTTTAAATAATTGCAACAAATTGCACATATTCTTATGTAATCCTTCAAAAACATATAGCAAGCTTTAATAAGAGTAAGAACATTTATTTATTAACCATCTAAAATGTGTCAGGCACTTATTATATCCATTTTGAGTCATTTTGACACACAACCACAATAATAAAAATGGTATTATGATGGTTACCCCGCCTCCTGCTTCCACGTCATTGCTAGACATTAGAGTAAAATGATGGACAGATGTGACGCACTGTTCTCTCTGTCCAACAACTCCTTCTCCTAGACCTTCACGTGACTGGCTCCTTCACTTCGAAGTTTGTGTCGCACTCAGAAAGTTCTTTTCTGACTACCTAAATTCCATTCCCATGCCCATTCTAACGGAACACTCCCCCAATATTCTCTAACCTAACATTCTCCATTTTCTTCATATGAAGCATTTATAGTGATTCACAATGGGCTGTTATTTACTTGTTTTTCTACTCCTCCCCACTCACTACAGCTTGACTCCTCAATTTGTACATTTAGCGTCTGACTGCCCAGCACATAGTTGGTATTTAGTAACAGAAATTTAAAGTCAAAATATGTATGAGCTGATCAAGAAGGCCTCAAGTACTAAAGCACTACATACCTATAGGATAGCTCCATTAATAGTCTACAAAACTTAACATCCCCAAAATTAGAAATTTATATTCCCTTTCTAACTTTGCCATTTTTTCAACACTACTGCCATTTTACTGCCTTTCAGGTTTATAAAAAAAGTGTCTTCAATATTTAGTAAGCCACTGAACACCACTGGGATCATTGTAGTCTTACATTTCCATAGCACCCTTTATGGCTTACAGAGTGTTTTTGTACTTGTTATCACATTTGTTCATCACACATACATGAAAGTTAGGTATCAGTATCATTGTTATGAATGAGTTTACTCATTCCAACATGATATTCCAACATGTTAAAACAAGTTTTCCCAAGATCCCATAGCTATTCAGTGACACGATCTTAGACTTGAAATACTGTGTCTGTAACGTTATGCAGATGTTGTCTATATCCAAGTGATCAGGCTCTTCATATCCCTTCCCACAGCTGTTCCTCCAGATCAGCTCATCAGGTCATTGTACATAAGTTATTACAAGAATGGTTGCCATAAAGTCCTCAATGCATGCTGTTTTAACTATTGAAAACAGCCGCTATGCCAAATTGTTGTTATAATCCTACATATTTATTACTCTTCACCATGCTTTTCTTTCTCTGGAAATATTACTTGCACATCTACTTGACAATCAAATTGAACAACACTTTGAAGTCCCAGGCACTATCTATCAAGTGCCAAGTTATAAAAACTACAACCTAAACTGTGTCTCTCTGAATCTCATTAGGAGTTTTACACACTCATATAAAGCAAAGTAACATACACTGGCCATAGGTTGACCTAAAATAATTCTTTAGATTTTAAATAAACTTAACTTCAGAACCCAAACTGATTATTTATGACTTTAAAGTCTTAGTTATTTATAATATACAACACTGATTTTATTAAGTGGATCTTGAAATTAGTGGAATTGTACTATGCAATATTATTATAAAAAGTCGGGTAAAAGTAGATTTATAATTGTGAGTATGTGAAACAGAGTTTATTCTTGTAGCATAATTTATTACTGTATTATTTTCCATATGAACTGTTAACCTACTTTTGTCTCACCCTATATTAAGCACAGTTATTTTATTAATTATAGGTTAAAATATAAAAAAATAATTTTAATGGGCAAATACAGAGATGAGAACATAAGGTCAAAGAGTACCTTTCATTTAAAATAATAATAATAATAATAATAGTAAAATAAAAACACTGTACCTCAGAGTCCCAAAGTGATTCTCTATCTTCATCTTCTCCTAATCCGAATGTTGCCATTTTATCTATAAAGTATAGTCACAGATACATTAATGTGAACATTTTTACTATGTTTTTTAAATACATATACAGGTCTATCCTCATTTATGAATATTTCAATAAGATAAAAGTAATAGAAAATATTTTCAGAGGGTCGAAGCATTTGCAGGAAGAAAAAAATGGTAGTAGCTGGGATACTTTTGAATAAAGACAACAAAAAAACCCTTTAAAAATGGATATTTGGTTCTATAGAAATTATATTTGTTTATCCCAGCATTTAACCAAAGGAAAAAAATTCAGAGATAGTCACTAACTTACCACTACTATTGTCTTTATATTCTCCATCAAGATAAGTCAAATTGTTATTATTTGTTTGGTTTTGTGGAGCACTTTCAATAATACCAATACTATTTCCTTTTATTTTAATTGGTGGCTTCGTTGCTTTTTCCTATAAAAATAAAGCAAAAAAAAACAAAAACCCAACTTTAGACAAGTCATGTCTATTCACCTGCTCAGTCACTTAGTCACGCAGTCAGTAGGCCAACAAACATTTACTGTACCTATGAAATCATAGGCACTAACCTGGGAGAAGATAGAAATATACATAAAAGACTTTGCCCAATATTCTAGTAGGAGTAGGTATACATAAAAACAATAAGGAGAGGAAAGTATCATTTGCTAGTTCTACAACTGAAGTGAATAAACTACAGTAAGGGCACAAAAGACGTTTAACAGTCTGTTGCACCCAGGAAGCTCAGGAAATGCCATATCCTGTGATGTAGTAAGTGCAGAGGGAGAACGTTCTAGAAAGGGCAGCAGGAGCAAAAGCATGAGGTAAGTGAGAGTACAGCAGGAATGTGGTAAAACCAGAATGGTGCAAATGGGATGGAGAGATAAAACTGGAGACTCACATACCCTTTCTTTTTACATACCCTTTGTAAACATCATGCTAGCATATGAATTGTGCCCAAATGTAATGGAGAGCCATTAAATAAGCAGAGAAGTTACATCAGCACAAATATCTTCTAGAGTAGTCACCCTGGCAGCCATGTAAAAATGAATATAAGGGGAGCCAAACTAGAAAAGGGTATTTCAAAATCAAAACTGAGAAAGGAAATTACTGTAAGTAAAGTACTGATATAAAAAAATGGCAGCAGGTAGAAAGTATTAAACTTGGTGTGTGACTGGATGTTCTGATCTCGGGGAGGGCTGGTGTCTGGGACTTTTTGCGCATCAGTGTCCCAGTGCTGCTATTTACAAGGATGGGAAAACAGGTGGCAGAGTAGACTACTGAGTCAACAAAGAGGAAAGGGTCAGGGCCAATGTCTTCAGTTTGGGACATATCAAATTTGAGGCACCCAGGGGACTTAGAAGAAAGATCTAGATAAATAAACTTGACATAAAAATAGATTACATTATTCAGGAAAAGCATATGATGTTAGGAAGGTAGATATTTGTAAAATATACTGACCAGACTAGTTCAATAATGCAAACCTACACAGAATTTCCAAAATTTTGAAATTAAAAATAAGAGCAGGGTTATAAAACAACATGGGACTCAATTTTTCAATCACACATTTTGAAATTTGTTTCGACAATATAAAATACCCTTTTACAAATATATACAAATATTTCTGGGATATTTTAGCATAAACATTTTAAGTTTAATAAAAAGTTTAATAATAAAATACCAGTTCACAATTTTAGAAGACTCCTTTTTAAATATTAACTTCAAAAGGCAAGTTTTAAATTGTTGAAGATAAATGCTTATGTGATTACAAAATTATGAAGTATTTTAAGTACCACTATGATGTATCAAAGGAATACAAAACCCTATTTTAAAATTCACCTGGGGCCCTCACTGGCATAGCTCAGTGGATTGACCTCGGGCCTATGAACCAAAGGATGATGGTTCGATTCCCAGTCAGGGCACCTGCTTAGGTTGCAGGCCAGTTCCCAGCAGGGGATACACAAGAGGCATCCATACATTGATATTTCTCTCCCTATCTCCTTCCCTTCCCCTCTAAAGATAAATAAATAAATTTTAAAAAATTCACCTGGATTTCTTACTTCCCTGTCAAGAGCACACTAATGGGTCTAATTACCTGTCTACTCCATATAGCACAGGTGGCAAACACAAAGCCCGTGGACTGAATCTGACCCTCCACCTTGTTCATTTGTCCTGGCACCTTGTTTCTACCTGGCGGCAGCACTGAGCTCCTTGCCCCTAGTTAAGGACTACTTACGTTTATACAGTCCTAAAATTCCATTCCGCCCTTTGAAGGCACCTGTGAGGCTGATGCGGCCCCTGGTGAAAATGAGTTTGACGCCCGTGCCATATAGGATGATACTTAAAGATGTATACAAAAATCTAGTGCAAAAACTAATAAAACTATAATTATCCAAGATGAAGATTTAAAAGTCTTCAAGTATATCTATGATTATCAAGGAGGACCAAATGAAAAGGGGACTAAAAAATCAAGTCACTAGCATGTCTGAGATTTAGATAAGAATTTTCATGATAGGTTGAACAACCAAGAATAATATGAAATGCGCCCATTTTTAAAGATAGTTTAAAAAGTAAAAGCTCATCTATCAGAGATAATTTTGTATATTGTTAGTACTCTTTCCTTGATATTGATAGCAGGCATTTTATATTGGAAAAAATCAGAAATTGTGATTTCAGTCATTTGATATGTGCATCTGTGTCCATGCTGAGACCACATTTGGCTCTGCCGTCTCGCTCCACCTCCACTCCCATTTCATGCCTTCCTGTGCACTCTTTCTTCTTTTCGTCTCCCATTTCTGAACAATCCCTAGAGTGAAGCCTGTGAAAGACACTCAGAGGACAGAGACGGAGTCTGTGTGCCCTCCCAGTCGTGCTCAGTCTGATTCTGCCCTGGGCAGGCTGTAGACTAGAGCTCAGAGATGTTCAACGTACCATTGTCTACAGTGGCAAAACAACTGGCTGTCTATACATAGGCAACTGAATAAGTAACTCATGTGGTTTTCACATATTAGTCTTTGCAGCTACTGCACCAAAGTAGCTGCTTAGAGAACAATGTTACAAGCATGTTTTAAGTGAGCTCATTTGATGGTTTTAAAATGTAAAACATGATCTCATCTTAAGGAAAATGTTTTTAGCTTTTCCCATTAAGTAGGATATTAGCTGTTGGTTTGTCATATATGGTTTTCATTACATTGGGGTATATTCCCTCTAATCCCACTTTGCTGAGAGTTTTGTTTTTAAAATCATAACTGGATGCTGGATTTTATCAAATCTTTTACGGTTATCTATTGATATAATCATATTTGTATTCTTCCTTTTATTTGGTATTTGGTATTAATTAATTTGTGGATATTGAACAAATTTTGCAGCCAGGAATAAATCCCACTTGATCATGGTGTATAATCTTTTTAATGTATTGCTGAATTTCACTTGCGAATATTTTATTGAGGATTTTTACAACTATGTTCATCAGTAATATTGGCCTATAATTTCCTTTTTTTGGAATATCTTTGGTTTTGGAGTCAGGATAATCCTGGCATTATAAAAAGAGCTTGGAAGTCTTCACTACTCTTAAATTTTCTGGAATAGTTTTAAATGTAAGTTATTCATTGAATATTTGGTAAAATTAACCAGTAAGGCCATCTAGTCCAGGACTTTTGTTTGCTGAGAGTTGTTTGATTACTGATTCAATTTCGTTGGTAGTAGTCTATCTGTTCAGATTTTCTATTTCTTCTTGATTCAGTTTTGTGAGATTCTATGTTTCTAGGAATTTATCCATTTCTTCCAGATTGTCCAATTTGTTGTCATATAATTATTTTTAGTATTTCCTTGTAACCCTTTGTATTTCTGTAGTGTCAGTTGCCACTTCTCTTTCATTTGTGATTTTATTTCTTTGGGTCCTCTCTTTTTCTCAATGAGCCTGATAAAAGGTATATCAACCTTGGTTATCCTTTCAAAGAACCAGCTGTTGGTTTCATGGATATTTCGTATTTTTTAGACCATTTTATTTATTTCTACTCTGATCCTTATTATTTCTTTCATTTCTTCTACTCATTTTTAGCTTTGCTTATTGGTCTTTCTCTAGTTGCTTTGGGTGTAAGGTTAAATTGTTTGAGATTTTTCTTGTTTCTTGATGTAGGTCTGTATTGATATGAATTTTCATTTGTTTCAAGGAAACATTTCTTTCTTGATCTCATTGTTAATCCATCCCTTGTTTAATATATTATTTAGCTTCCAGGTGTTTGTGTATTTTTTAGTTTTCTTCTTGTAATTTGTGGTCAATAAATATGTTTGGCATAATTAAAAAATCTTTAATTTATTAAAATTTGTTTCATGGCTTAAAATGCAGTCTATCTTATAAAATGTTCCAGGTGCACTTTAAAAAATATATATTCTACTTTTTTGTGGAGGGTGTAAATGCTCTAAAAATACCAATTAAATTCATCTGGTCTAATGTGTCATTTAAGGCTGTTACTACCTTGTAGATTTTCTGTCCGAAAGATCTATCTATTGATGTCAGTGGGGTATTAAAGTCCCCTGCCATGACTGTATTACTGTTGATATCTCCCTTTATGCCTATCATGATTTGCTTTATATATTTAGGTGCTCCTGAAAGTTCCAACCAAGACAGAGGCGTAGGTAGAAAACCTTCGCTTCCTTGTACAACCAAAAGGAGGATAACCATCAATCTAAAACCAATAAACAACCAGAAGTGCCAGAAAAATCAAACTGCATGGAACTCCAACAATCGAGGAATTAAAGAAAAAAATAAATCAGAACAACCAGACAGGTAAGGCTTCAGACCTCGGGGGCAGGGCTGGCTACAGCGAGGCAGCAGGCTGTGCAGGCGGGGCTGACTTAAGGGGAAACTGAAACTCAAAGTTGACAATGGACTATGGCGGTTGCCACAGTGGGAGAAACTCCTAGTCTCACACGAGGGGTCCGGTGGAAAGTATGGTAGGGGAGTGGGGGAGCTGCATTGTTCCCTCGCTGTCCCTCCCCCATAGGCAGTGCAGCAAAGAGGGTTGCCCTGCCTGGGGGAATACCTAAGTCCCCGTCCCCTTACAACTTATCAGGTGTGCCAAGACAAAGAAATATGGCCCAAACAAAAGAACACAGCAAAACAACAGAAAGAAAAATAAGCGATAAGGAGATAGCCAAACTATCTGATGGAGAATTTAAAGCCCTGGTAATCAAAATGCTCACAGATCTGATGGATCTTGGTTGAAAAATGAAAAAAGAATTGAAAGATACCCAAAAGGAAATAAAGCAAAATAAAGGGAGCCAACAGTGACTGGAAAAAAACCAGGACTCAAACCAACAATTTGGAACAAAAACAAAAAAATAACATCCAACCAGAACAGAATGAAGAAACAAGAATTCAAAAAAGTGAAGAGAGTCTTACAAACTTCTAAGGTTAAGTTAAAGCAGTTCATCAT